CAACAATTACTGCAGTCGACAGTGTTTATTGGCTGATGAGGGTTCTTTTTTTTTTTTGTTAGCTGTTCTTTGACATCCTGTGCACCAACTGCACCAGGGGATATTTTTTTGCATAGAAAATGTAACATGAACTTTTGAATATTTCAGTTTCCTTTAGGTCATGACAGCCAGACTATAAAAATAAATGAAAGACCAAATTGTCCCCGACTGACATCCTTCTAGGAGGAAACTAGGCCCTGCCACTTCTTATTTTACCACTGATTATCTTTATTGTTCAACAAATCACTCTGCATAGTCGTCCAGTTAGATTACTCAGCTAATTTGCATCAGAGGCATTTATAGCCCTCTTAATTCTGTCAAATGTGATTGCATTACTCATTGCATATGCTTTTTTCCCTGAAAAACAAAAATAATAATCTGACAGTAGAATTGAAAACAAATGTTAAAAGACTGGGAAACGTTGAGTGCTTTAGCTCTACTGTCACCTTAGGCAAGCTATTTTTAATTTGCCAACAAAAGCACCATGTCTTTTTTCCCCTTCCTTCCTTCATATTCTCTGTTTCAAGCACAATCTGAGCCCCAGGGACCGCTGAGCCCCTCATCTGCATGACAGGTATTGGTAAATCGGGAGCAGAATTGTAGACAGCGGCCAGCAGCCAGTCTTTTAACGCTGGTTTGTCTCATTCTTATAGAAAGGATTTGTTGACACTTGTAAGAGTTGCTGTCTAGCAGATTTTTCACTGCAGCTCTAATTGGTGTTGTGTTGAGGAGACATGAACGGAATAAATAGAACAGAGATCCTATAGGAAATGTGATGGATGATGGAGTTTATGGACTGACTAATGAGAATAATTAAATCTTTACTGTTTTTATCTTTACTCTTTTTGTTTACTATTAGTCTAGCAGTATCTGTTCTTTGTCTCTTTAACTCATCCTCCCTTTCAACTGCTACAAACTATAATGACCATCAGTGATAAAACTACACTGGGTTATGACTGAACCTCAAGGCACAGAGAAATCAATGTTTTTTCAAAAGATTTATTCATCCGGGACATTTAGAGCGTTAAAGATGACACATACGCAAAGATGATCCCCAGTGAGTGGAAGTGACTTGAATAGGTGGCAATATATGTCAGGAAATTAGCATTGCAATTTTCAGACAGACATTATAAGACAAGGAAATGATACCTCTGACTCCAGAGGGCATCCTGTAGTTTTTATGGGAACATAAAATCTTTAATGGATAACGATCCAGAATTAGTTTTAACATAAACTCGGTTTGCAAAATGTACCGAGGGAAAGGAAAGGAAATAGGAAGAGGTGGAAAACAATGATGGCTAATATGATATGTGTCAAAAAAGTAGGAACTCAGCTGCCTGCAGTTTCCTTTTTAACTAGCATTTGTCAAGCAACACGAGATCGGTTTAATTTGACACTGTCTGGGACCTGGCCTGCCCTTGAGCTTGACATTTGCTGAAAGGGAGATGAGGGCGGAAATTATGAAAAATAACATTTCAGCTCATTTGCATGAAGCGTACTGCGTTTAATTGGCTATATTCAATTTCTTTTTTTAAAAGTGGCTACTCAAGTAACTCACTTTTGAGTGAATGCATGTAAAATAACTGGGATACTCTCATATTCAGGCTCACTTGTTTGCTTGAGAAGCATTCAGATCACACATTTTACTCACTGGGATGGTCATGATTTCTGTCCCATGTTACCGAAGTAACCCAGTGTTGTATTTCCCAGCCAAAGAGGGATGATAGAAAGTAGATGGATGGAGGCTTTATTTATGGCAACAAGGACACTCAGTTACAGGTTACTGTAAATAACTTTGCATCAATAACACCTCATGGCTCTTGTGTTTATGAAGCAGAATGGCAGTGTGTATTGATTCTTGTCAAAACCTCTCTAATGGCATTGATTGAAATTGTCAACATGTTTAATACATTAATAAAACAAAGAAGCTGAACACAGAATAAATAATTTCTGAATTACATTTTCTATAATCCTGGTCAGTCTGTGAGTGCACACAATACCCAGTGGCCACTTGTCCAGTAGGAGCAAGAGAAACATTATTTTTTCAATTCTTGATTTCAGGTTATTGTAAAATCAGATCATTTTGTTCTTGTGGCTTTCTGAGCTTTATTTTCTCCTCAACAAACCATTGTTCATTGCAGTTTTACAGAGCATGCAGCAGTCAGTAGCTGTTTAATCTGGTGCACAATGGCTTGTGTTGATCCAAAATGCCACAAGCAGAGACATCAAAGTATCACATTATTTGCTAAAATAAAATTTATACCTAAAAATATCTCATAGTTTGGGTCACAAACTGCCAAGAAATCAGGCATGTTAATTCCTCACAAATCTAAGAAATTTTCAAATAATTGGCTGGCTATTCAGAGTTCTTTGGCTCACGAGCGTCACTGCCAGTATAAAGACTTACTGGATGTGGATCTTGACTCAACTTGGCGCTCAGCTACAATCAATACAGAGACAGCTCTATAAGGTGGCTTCACCTCAGAGCCATGACAAACGCAGTGTAGAAGTATGGTCACAGGTTGTAGCATTAATAACGCAGCTTCTTATTTGAGCACTAACCTGAAGTGTATCTTTACATCCATTCATTTGTTTACTTCTCTTGTAATGATCAGTGCTCTACAGGGCTCTACAGTAACACAGAGAACACCGATTCCCCCCAGGAAAGTGTTTGATCTTCTCTCTGTACGGCGACAATAAAAGGGGGCTGAATCTCACAAAAGCACAATGAAAGCCTTTTTAAGTACGACACAGCTGCTACACGTGTGTATGCTCGAGTGGCTGTGTAACTGAAGTACCTCAGTCATTTGCAGACGTTTGGCTTCCTTTCCCTCATCTTCCTGGTGATTTTAGGCTGCATTCAATAGCAGGCACGGTAATTTCTGAGCGCATGTATTTTTAATGAGAGGTCATTTAATCTTTCTGTAAATTGCCAGGCTGCAACCTCGTCGTAATAATTACCAATAATTACAGTTTTAGCAGAGCAGTCGCTATGCAACATCTAGAGAGTGGCGATATAAGAAGGAGACTGTGTACTGCTGTATAATGTGTTTATTCCAGGGTTTTATGGGATGTATTATCCTGGTAGTGTTTGAGTAGTACACAGTTTGACCAAAGTCTTGGAGCTTGTAAACTGCGTCACGTCTCATGATTACCCAGGGTCCTGTGGGTGTGAGTGCAGACAAAAGCACCCACAATGAATGTAACAGTAGCTTAATTTGATCTGGGGATGTGTAGCTGGGTTATTTAATATTTCATGTATTCAGTTTGAGTTAGACTTAATTATTTAGGCCCAGATCTGTGATAGTAATAGTTACAGGTATAGGTAAGTTAAGGACTGTACAAAAAATATTGGCGTGAGGAGGGGGGCTATACCTTTTTTATATATATATATATATATATACTATAATACAGAAGTATAATCCTTTAAGCAAAAAACTAAAAGGGGCAAAACTGTCTGCTGCTGGTAATAAGTTTGCCCCACCCAGAACCCAAATAACACATTTTAAGTGTGAATAAGATCTGATGTTGTGCCTGACGCGAGATTAGTTGTTTGACTCTTCATCACAAATAGACCAATTAAGAGATTCTGAGTCGCATAACCAGGCACGTTAACCAGGTGTGTTTTGGATCAGCAGCCAGAGACTGAGAGGGAACGTTTTCTTCCAGACAGGTGTGCCAAACAGCGCACCGGAAAATACCATTATCCAAGCTAATTATTGTCGGAAAATGGTTTAAGTCTACTGCTCACTGATACGCAGGAGAGAGGAGAACAGCTGTGTGGGCTCTTGTTTTATGCACAAGGTGATTTGGTTATATGCGGAGAGTGATACATGCCTTCATTCAACAGATTACGACCTTGAATCGGAGCTCACAGCAACATCTTGAAGGCACGAGTCTTTTTTTTTTAAACGGTCAACAAAAAACGAGGGTGATACGACTCGTGACGACAGGCCCGTTGGCAGAAAAACTATACAACCCAGCCAACAGCAGTCACATAATTCAAAACGATCTTTGCGGCATTGCAGGGGCCAAAATACAGCTGACGATCAATGTAAGAATTTCCGAATGTATCTATCAATCCAGTACCTTTTGATAAGTTGATGCAGGGGGACTTGTCAGTGAATTATTTAACATACTTGCATGAGGCCCGCTGTTTGTTGACGGCAGTGCCTGTAGACCTGTTGACAGAAGGCAGCATCAAAGCGGGGGGGACATTTTTGATCTCTTCATTCATGCATAATGTCAGGGGCAATTCTGTACTACAGCTGCCTTCGAATGACCTCCCCGCTTTATCCTCATGATTACTCTGTGGGTTCGACCTCTCTCTCTCCGCCATCCGTGACAGTTGTGCTGTGCGTGAGCCATTACACTGGCACTCCATGGGGACACGTGCACACTCCTCTCTCTCTCTCCCCTCTGTTTGGGTGAAGCGACCGGCGCCCGCACCGTCACCAGCAGAGACGTGGATTTTCTTGACGTGGTCTATGCATTGAGTAGGGGGCAGCCCGTACTGGGGTCAGCCCAGTCTCCCAGCAACTTTCTTTATTAGAAGAAAAGGGCACGACGGTGCTGAGTAGAGATCATATTAGTAACACGGGCCCCCCTTCTCATAAACTTTTCAGTCACATTTTGATTTATGTCACTTAATAAAACGGTCTCACAATATGATGCTGTTAGCTATATGCTGCTAGGTATATAAATGTCAGTGTATCATCAATCATATAAAATCAAAAATATAAACCAGTCAGTCGGCGGGTTGAGCGGGACGCTGTTGTATAATTGGGGCTTAAATGGATGATTATTTGCTGATCATTTGACGTCCATCACTTCTGCATTTGCCTGTTAGGCTATAAACATTTCTACATCATTCTCTCAAGTCATTTTGAGCTGTGTGCCAGTCTGTTAGTACTGCAGTTTCACCGTGACATGATCTCCTTCTCCATCCTCTGTCGTTTCAGGAGTCTCTTGTTTAATCTGATATGGCTGCTGCACTTTGGAAGGCTAAATCACTGGACCTGGGCTTGTGGATCTTCCTCCTGCTCCTCAACCTCCTCCCTGCAGCCAGGTACAACAACATACCGTATTTCACTCCTCAGCCTCCCTCTTCCTCTGTTTGCTATCTTCCTGCCTCTCGACCCGTTTCACCCCCGACTCCGTTTCTCCTGTTGTCCTGGTGATGTGTTTTGTATAATACCTGTATTAATCAGGCTCACTGCTGCAGTAGACATTGCAATCAAACCAACACCATTAGAAGCAGAGGTTCATCTATATTGTAAGCAGAGAAAAAGCAGCAAATGTGTTATTGTTATTACACAGTGAGATGGTCTCAGCTGTGACTGTCAGTTTGGTAAATGAAATAACCAGACCTCTATAATGGTGTTGACCAAATAACTGCCAGGGAAAACTTTTAGCATTGAATGATCACGGACAGAGTATGTTTCCATTTGTTCTCCTGCACCCTGTGTAGATACTTTTTGCACTCAAGGACTTCCTGGACAACACTGTGACTTTAACATTTTTGGACGAGGATTAAAAATAGACCCAGTGCCACCTTGTCCTAAATTAGAAAGAGAGCAAACATAAAGTGAGCTTATCCTCTCATCACAAATGTAGCATCTCCTCTGCACTGGTCTGAATTCCACTGACTGGTGAATTCATTTGCATTGTGCAGCAGCACCACAACTATGATTGTCCATTCACAGCATTTTCACTCCTGCATCCTGGGCACATTTTTCAGTTTGAGTGCTAAGAGTCAGCAAAAAAAAAAAAGAGAGAGAGAGAGAGAGAGAGAGAGAGAGAAGCTCCAGGATGTCTAGGAGTCATTCTAATCACACTCCTTGTAATTTCAAACGAAAAGATTGCGCAGGTTGCCATGTTAGCATTGTTGATAAGGTAGGATGTTATGGCGGGGAGACGCAGCGGAGTGTAAATCACTTTAAAATTTTGCATGCTAGGAAAGGCTCACCGAACCTGGAAGAAAGCAGGCTGGGGAAAGAAATCAGAACAGTGTGACAGGGATTAGCCCAGTTTGCTTTGTCATTGTGCCACTTGGCTCTCCTTGCTTATTAGGAGCACACAGTGCTTGTAATTACATATATTAAATACAAATGTGTGGCCAGGAGAAGGTGGCGGCCAAACCTGGCAAGAGATCTTTTACAAGAATATGTGTTTTGGCCTTTCCCACTCAAGGACAAAATGTATTTGGTGAACCTGGAACAAACCTGGTGCTGTAAACCCAGTAGACATATAGTAATCTTGTGTATCCCTGGTCCCAGGGGCAGTTTTTTATGGTTTGGGCTAGACCTCAATGAAGGGAACTCTCAATGCTACAGTATACAGTGATTTTAGTGATATTTAGTGGAGTGGACAGAGTGGAGGGGGAGACGTAGAGCTGTCAATTTGCGTCAAAATTAGTCCTCCCTCTACTCTACCAGTCAATATAAACAACGATATGATCCATTTTTTTAACTTCGTGTGTATCACCACCCGAGGTATCATATCTTGCTAATGCTTGCGTCATAGACAAGAGATTTTCCTCAACTCCGACTTGCCTGAGATCTGTTTTCTAGTTATCGTGAATTTTTCTGTACACCCCGGAAGCTAATTTAGCATACTTTTAATGGCCAAATTGCCAAAATGTAAACAAATATGGGATTAAAAATACATGGCTCAAGTTGTAGTAGACTCAATCTTACAATTCACCCTAAATGTAGTTTCTAGTCATAAGAAGGGCTGCATAATCTAAAGAAAGTTATATTGGGATTATTTTGACAGATATCATGGTTGCGATATGATTCACAGTTAGTAGGAGGGATCATTCTTGCATCCAAATTTTTAGTTTCACTGAAGAAACTATTAAAATAATGATAATGTAACATTTGTTGGGGTCTAAAACAAACGTGTTTTCTTACATCTGGAGAACATTTATTGTACTTCATTTTAATGTTGTTCGTCACATATGTTACCTTTTTATCAAAAAAGTACAGCCTCTGCTCTTTGCATATTGCACTTGGCTATATTGCAATTTCAATCCTGTTTCAAATGACTGTGCAACCCTAGTCATAAGGGACAAACCCCTGTCCAAACCTCGACTTTCACCTTGATAACTAGAACAAAACGTGAATCGATAATGAATATACTCATAGTTAATTAATTAGTATAAAATTGGATAAGTACTGGTCTGGAAGCCTGACCTTGATTTCACTGATTATACAGTGTGAGGCCATAAAAACAAGGTTAAAGATAGAATTATTGGCATTAGTATTCAAGATGTTAATAAATAAAAATATGGAAAATCATTAAATGTTATGAGCACAGTCGGTTAATGATGGAAATGTCTGAAGTGTTGACATATTCAGGGACAGAAAACTGTCATCACACCCTTTCTAGCAGGGCCTAAGCAGTCATCGCAAATTCATTATGCATGGACCTAACACAGCACGTGACAAGGATTTTCACAAATGTTAATCTTTCTGCAATTACTTGAGACATGATGTAGTGCACATATGCAAAGTCCTCGCACAGCAGTCACATTTTATTCAGTTGAACTTGTACTCAATGAGGCTTTACCTTAGTCCAAACCTGGAAATGGAATTTCTCATGAAATTTGCATCTATAAGTTAAAGTATGTATTAATTGTCCATCAAATTTCAAGTTTCTAGAGTTTAGAAATAATCCTCCTCCATCAGTGGGGCACATGCTAGCAGAATATTTGCGTATCAGCAGAGCTGTTCCTCTCTGAGAGCTGCCACCTCCCTGATGCCCACTGATGCTATCGGCAGGCTCCAAATCGGCTTTACTACAGTTGAGGCAGAAGACTTTCCTAATGGATTAAGGTGTAACAGAGAAATCCTCTATATAAGGGTCTGTCATTCTGCACATCACCAAATTTCCTCATTTCCCGCACACTGCAAGACGGGGCTGATTAAGCTATTATTCCCAGAAATCCAGGTATTACATATGAATGAGAAGGCTGTGTTTATTTCCTTACTGCGAAGGTCTTTCATTCCATCAGCTCGCCTCGCTTCCAACACCCACCCACCCCTTTCTACAGTTAACAAGTGTGGACACTCAGGCCGTCTTGTTGTCTATTTTGTTTGTAATCTGTTGCCAAGCTGCCGGCTAACGTGGCACATAATCAATAGCTGTAAGGATGAGAGTGCTATATGTACACTTTACCTATGGATTGGCACTGAAGTTGCCCGGCCTCTGCTCGCTTTCCTCACCCCGCCTCGCATGAATTATTCACAGCATGGCAGAGAGGGGCATCACTTTGAGATGTGACCTGGTCAACAGATAACATTCTGTTTCGGTAGTGTTGTCAAGGTTAATGTGTCACAGGTCTGGACAAAGGTAATGTATTCATGGCTGAGCCACTTTGCTGATTGAATGACCAGACACACAGTTTCAAAAGAAAAGAAAGTCAAAGGTCCACTGGGTGCAAGTAATGTTAAATCCAAAATTGTCAGTAGATATATGCTAACCGCTTTAGTTTACTGACAACAAAACAACAATTTTATGCAACCATTTTTTTCATTTAATGAAAAGTCTTTTTTTTTCCAAGAGGATTTTATTTTATTAGTTGGCCCATCCGGTGTTGTATCCTTTTACTGGTGACAAAATAATGACAGAAATTAGTAACTATGCATATTGTGTCCCTATCCACAGGCAGCATAGCTATACAGCTTACAGGCAGGTTGTTTGCTGGGCCTAAGGCATTCTGGGTAAGCACATTAGGAAGCATGTGTTGTGTGTCCAGAAGGGGGTATTAATATCGGTTAGCCGTGCATGCTGCAGCAGCAAGACTGATAACAAACATGTCCTATATAAATGCAAACAATGAATGTGTTCTTATATTTATGAATTGCAGTCAAGAGGTAAGGCACATTTAATACAAAACATAAGAGATTTAACCCAACTTTGTATGTGCATGTAACAAATTTATATGGTCAAAAGAACGAAATACCAGTTGACCCATTAAAACTATAAAGCCCTCAGAGAGCATACATACAACTAAAGCGGTACAATGCTCAATATTTTATTGATAGAAGATGTTTTAATTATCATCTGGCTCTACATCAAAATACACAGAGACCATCATTTTTTCACCCGAGCAAAATAAGCATAAGTAAACTGGGAAAAGAGATTTCATTCAAAATCTACCTTAGCAGTATGTCTTTGGCTGAGGATAATATAAATATGAATTATAGGACTGATCTGACTTTGCCTTGATTTATAATAATTGGACTGCGGTGCACTGGCTGAGAATGGCTGTTGTAAAACAAACTCCTGTATTCATTTTTCAGTGAAAGAAATGAACCTGAAGTTGCTCTTTAAAATGGATGGTCAGCGTAATTAATTCAACCTTGACCTTGGTTTTCCATTTATTAATAAGTGCTTTATATAAAAGGATAAAATGGATTTGTTTAACCCGTCTGATTGCTCGTGTTTGCTGAGGTGTAGTGTCTGCAAGCCCGATCAATCTCAGCTATTAAGCTTGTGAATAAAATTATCTCAGCTGATGGGAATGATGTCCAAAACCTTGAAAAAATAACCTAGATTCATTAAAAAAGGAATTAATGAAAACAGATGTATTTCTTCAAGTTGAATCCCTTTCCCAGTATTGTTAGGTTTTATTGATCTGTTCTCTAATTACCTTGACTTCCTGTCAATATTTTATTCACATAGTGACTGATAAGTCAGGTAACTGACTTAGAAGAGCTTGCCTAGAGAGAGTGCAGACAAAGCTATGCTTGTAGCAACAGTAGTGTTGTGTCCTGACATCCAAAATTCAGTAAAAATGTCATTGAGCCGTGGCCTAATTACTTTTGAGTTTCAGTCCATTTTCTATTGATACGGTGAGCATCTGGCCAATGATCTTCAAAGTGACCAATTAACGGACAACCCCAGCAGGCATGAATCAAACTGAGGCTGGAATGGATTTCCCAGAAGGTGTCTGCACAGCTGCACACTGAACGCAGACCACTCAGTCCTGGAAATACACAAAATGCTGAACTAATGTCTGAGGCCTCTCACAATGGAGCATCCAGATATTATCAATCCATA